AGGAGGGCTACTTTGCAGTTCCCAGACAAAAATCTTGCCTTCTCTATTCCCTGCCACATCCGAAAATACATATAAATGAGTACAAGCTCTAACAAAAATATTAAGCTTACCAAAATGCACAGTTTGTTTGGGAGATCAAAAGATAAAAAGCGAGTAATAATCAAATAGGTGATAAGGATAGTTGTAACCGAAAAAGCAATATACCATAATTGCTAATATTATTTACATAAAAAAGGGCGTTTGGCCTTCCATATTACCTATAGCAGCAGAATTGTAATGAAAGTCGCAAGAAAATTTGATGAAACCAAATGTCACACTCTGGGACAGGGTACTTTAGAAGAATGTCAACTGTACCCTAAACAAGAATCTTGAAGGTCTTCATCGTAGTAGAAGTTGAGAGTTTCCCCAAAGATATATATCCGTAACAAGAAAAATAAAGAGAAATCTCGAAGTTCAAACCTCTGCGGGAGATTGCTCCTTTGTCTTTGGTTCCCATAGCACAATTTCGTTGTCAACACTCTGTAATTACACCACACAGTAACTTATATCACCCCATGTGACATGAAATTCATATATTACTCTCGACTCTCCAAGGGAACATATTATTGGACATGGACATGAGGATATGACCCTTCAAAGATCCTTCAAAAACATGGAAAACTTTTTAAAAGCTGAACATATCCATGCTGGACATATACCCATGTCCAACACTCACACCAGAGTGCAAGTAACACGGAAAATTTCCAGCTTATGACAAAACAGCATAAATGAAGATTTAGAATAACAAGCCCTAGGAAAGTTTCACAAGAAAACCTCAATTCGAACATTCTGCCAGTAAGTATAGAAGTTCTAACTTAAGAAAGAAAGTTCATAAATATTGTATCTCTAACAATGTAACTTGATTTCTAAAGGAAGATAAGATGCCATCTAAAGTATAAACGATATTCATCTTAGATCCGAATTTCAAGTACCCAAGCATGAACTTCAAAAATGAGGGAAACATAATGTTAAACAACAGTTAAAGTAAGACAATTGAACGCAACCTATAGCTTATACTACTTAGGCAAGTCATGTCCGCAAAGGCTGCATAATTATACTAAACAAAAATAGCTCAAGTTACTCAACAACGATGAAGCAATGCTTACTAAATCAAATTTGAGCTCCTTATGAAAGATGATATAACAACATATAGAGAATATAGTTTACCTTTGACAGAATGAAATCGCCAAGCCACCGATTACAGTCCACGTAATTTGAATGAATTGAAGCTAAGAACACCTGAAAACAATAGATGTAACCATTAAAATATTTGAGCAACAGTCATGATTTACATAGAGAAGAAGAAACAGCAGCTACTCACAGGGAATTGTACATATTTTGTTGGGAAGATCCGTCCATGTGAATGATTTCTCGACATAAGTCCAGAACTCTGTAGAAAGATTATAAACATGATAGAAAGGACTGAATGCCTAAATCAGTGTTTACTTGATGCTAATTCTAGCATGAAATCACTTGTTCGACAATCATAACATCACTCAATTTGTTTAGTGCTAGATAATATCAAACATCAGATCCAACCATTCCAGCTTACCCCAGAACCCCCAAAATCAAGGTCCTAGGCAACACATAACCAGTCTTTTACCGATAAAAACCATGGACGTCCCATAGTTTTACCTCTAATGCTCCAATTATATCAGAAAATTTTGTTTGCTGCCACCAAAATCAACAAGAACAACAGAAATCCACAGTGATGACTTTCATAACCATACCACCTTTCATTAACCAAATCTTAACAGTGTTGACCATCCCACAACTTGCAATTCGATAAATGTCTGAAGGATGGAAATCCTACAATAGCAATCATAACCATCAGAATATGATTGGTGGAAAATATGGAAGTAGAAAACATAACAAATATTAAAAGCATGGTTCCATTCCATTCTCCCAAGGGTAAGACAACTATAGATAGGATAAGTTGATATTCTCAGCACCTACCACACCCAAAACTTCATTGCGGTGACCCCTGGCTCCAGCAAATATCAGAATGCATATTCCAGTATGGATATTCCTCAATCTAACAGATTCATCCTGATCTAGCTTCAAACATTAGCCGTTTGATAAAGAAAACAGTTATCAAGTAAATGTTTTGATGCTTACTTTACTTGCAGTTACTATAAGTGATGTTTTCAATGGGTGAGTTCTAATTTCATTTATTGAGTCACCATGTCCAACAAAACTCTGCATACACACGTCCATGCAACGGAATGAAAACAACTATGTATAGTATAACAATATCAATTTTCAACAATGTTGAATGGACATAAGAATACCAGTGTAGAAGGACTCATCCTTCTGATCTACAAAGCACATCGAATGACGCAGTTATTCAAAAATATAACTTCAAAGGAGGAAATAAATACAATGCAAGTGTTGTTTCTTACATCTTCATCTACATAAGATTGTAAAACAGCTACAACACCGCCTTCTAGGCATTGGTATATGGTCACCTGTAAACAAAAGGCCAAGTTAACATTCATAACATCAATTCAATAGATGAATGAAGGTAGAAAAACAAAGAAAACTAGTAAAGTTTGGAAAGTACATCATAAAAAAAAATCGAAACTACAAATAAAATAACAAAAATATCAAAAGGGTTAATTCATCCATAAAAATTAGTCTGAAAGAAATGGTTTTTCCCAGGTAAGAGAGACTGCTATTAGCTAATATAATAGATGAATGAAGGTAGAAAAACAAAGAAAACTAGTAAAGATTGGAAAGTTTCTACATCATAATAAAAATCGAAACTACAAATAAAATAACAAAAATATCAAAAGGGTTAATTCATCCATAAAAATTAGTCTGAAAGAAATGGTTTTCCCAGGTAAAAGAGACTGCTATTAGCTAATTTAAAGCTTCGGATATTAAAGTGAACAATTAAAGCTTCTCAAACACAAGGCAAAAAGGGGTCTTTTGCTTAGCAAATTGAAGCAAAAAAATGAAGTAAAATCTTGCATTTGAACAGGTTAAAAACAAAATAAAAGAAACACATTAATTCACAGGGAAAAGGGTACCCAGAATGACAAAGATTACCCGATTACCACCGACGGTAGCAAAGACGTTGAAGTAACGAGAGTCGATGAAGTTGAAAACGACGGCGTATAAAGGACGTTTGCCCTCTTGGAGTCGATTAGTGACTCTGTATTAACTCTTCTTAGATGAAGTTAACGATCCTCATCCCACCACCGGTTCTAGCCCTATCGCCGTCTTTGCCATTGCCGCTTACCAATTTTATTTCCCACAATCCAAAATTCAAGGTTTTAGTTCCTAGTCAGTTGCTTTTCCATGTTTAACATTGAGCTTTTATAAATAGGTACAGGTGATAAAAAGAATACATCAAAATGAAATATATATATATATATATATATTAATAATTAAAATTGTGATTAAATTACATTAATTTAATTCAAAATTGTTAAATTATATCACTTTAAATTATAATTAAATTTTTTATAATTTTTTATATTTTTTAAATAATTAATTAAAAGTTTATTTATATTTAATAAAATTTATATATAAATTCCCTAACACTTCATCAGTAATTATTAATATTGTACATGTGGTAAAATTTAATTTACAATAAAATAAAATTGTTTATTTTTCTAAATAATTTCACCCAACAATTTGATTTATTAATTATTTAAAATAATACTGATAATACCATTTCCAAAATCCCCTCAAATTAAAAAAAATATAGTGTTAAATCTCAACATTAAATTTTTTTTAAAACAAATACATCAAACTAAATAATGGAACAAATAAAATAAAATAAGAATATTTTGTTTTTCTAAATAATTAAGTTTATGATGAACATTTTATTATTTACTTGATCATACTACTTATGTGTTGTTTACATCTTCGTGTAGTTCTATGGTACGACAATCTAATTTAAAGCTACAAAACAATGTATATGCGCGACTTAAAAAGTGATAAAAAGTATTATATTTTAGGTTGGATGCAAGTTAAAATGTTATATTTATCTTAATATTTTCGGTTCAACCTAAAATGTTACAAAAAAGATGACATTTTCGATTGTCAATTGAAAGTGTTATGAAGAAAATATCATTTTAAATGCAACCAAAAATATTAAGAAAAATATAACATTTTATGTTGCAAAAAAACCAACATTTGCGATTGCATTCATTTCTACCATTTATTAGTCTTAAATTCAGTTGTCGTTCTTTAAACGTTATCTCTTAAATATACTGAAAAGAAACTCTTAAAATGAAATAAGAATATTTTGTTTTTCTAAACAATTAAGTATAAGATAAAAATGGTGAAAATAAGAATGGATTCAAAGGAGATTAAGATAGTCGTCTTTAAAATTTTAAAAATCGTGATTAACGTAACATTTTGTGTCCCGTTTTGATTGAATTGTAGTGTGGAATACGAGACTCTGAGTGAGCGGGTTGAACAGGCAAAAGCTAGGTGCAGGGAAGGCAAGCCATTCTTGTGGCGAATTCTTTTTGAAGAACAATTATATCAACACATCAAACTATTCAAAAATAATAATTTTATATTTTATAAAAAATTTTATTAAAATATATTCCATCTGCCAACGAGGCTCTCTGTCCAAATTTATGTGGCAAATCCTGAATGGCCTGCCGCTTTATTAAATTGAAGATGTAGATTTTGCTTTAACTTTTACTAGACCAAAGATAGAAGCATCAAAAAAGAATCAATGGAGGTGAAAGATTCAATGTGTTTGTACTTGGGCTATTTCAATGCTTGACTAAACCTCGACTAAGACAATGGAAAGATGTGAAGAATTTTGCTTTTGTTTATTTGGATCAACGTTTCTTAAGGCATAAAATGTGAAAAACAAAGCCTGATCTTCAGAATATAAAATACCTGTGGTTGGCCAATCAAAACAAAGCTGTATCGCAGGCTGTATTCGTGACATATAAATACCCGAATTCGACACTTACACTCGAATCCAATACACCATTCGACAACTGAATGGTTGGAATTATTGAAACCAACATTCATTCTGCTGTCAAAAGATGCTCAAGGCCGGCCAATTTAAAAGCAAATTTAATCAATTCAATTTGTCATCGGCATAAAAACTGTAATAAAGTATGACAACAAGGTAGATTCTGCCTGCGAATAGATTGTGGATGACTGTACACAGTCCGGTATATAAAACTCATATAGGCTTCATCCATTAGAGTTGATGAAAAGTAAACAAAAATCAAAACACAGGGTCTCATTTCTGCTGAACAGAAGCATCAGTAATGGCTGCCAAAGATGGCATGTTTCAATGCGCCGACCGCATCGACAAGCTGTTGATGTTCTTCGGAACTTTGGGTAGTATTGGAGATGGATTGCAGTACCCTCTTACAATGCTTGTTCTTAGCAAAGTGATCAATGATTATGGAGATCCCAATTTCAACTTGTCTAATGATACTGTGGATGAGGTATGTGCCACTAACTTATCATTGCAACAAACACTTTAGTTCCTGATAATTAATTACTATAAATTATGTTCTGCAGTATGCAGTTAGGCTGCTCTATGTTGCGATCGTTGTTGGAGTTTCCGCCTTTGTTGGTAAGTTCAATTATGATAACTGGTGCAGAACCTTTTCAAGAATCATTTGTTCCATTTGACTGAATGTCATTTTATATGTATACAGAAGGGGTTTGTTGGACACGAACCGCAGAGAGGCAGACTTCCCGAATAAGGACCGAATACTTGAAATCGGTCCTCAGACAGGATGTTGCTTTCTTTGACACTCAGGAAACCGGAGCCTCCACAACGTTCCAAGTCGTGTCGACGATATCAGCTGATGCCAATGCAATCCAAGTTGCAATATGTGACAAGGTCTAGAATCAATTAGTACCCTTCTTCCATTTGATCTTGTTGCATACAAAACTGATTCAATTGTTTCCCCATGTTTCCTTCATGTAGATCCCGAATTGCCTCATGTTTCTCTCGACCATGTTCTTCTGCCTCATTGTCTCCTTCATACTGTCATGGAGACTTACCTTAGCCGCGATCCCTTTGACACTGTTCTTCATCATTCCTGGACTGTTATTCGGGAAAATGATGATGGATGTGATAATGAAGATGATTGAATCTTATGGTGTTGCTGGTGGGATTGCAGAGCAAGCAATTTCCTCCATAAGAACTGTATATTCATATGTAGCTGAGAATCAAACAATTGAGAAGTTCAGCCAAGCACTTGAAAAGACTTTGGAATTGGGAATAAAGCAAGGCTTTGCAAAGGGCTTGTTGATGGGAAGCATGGGAAGCATTTATTTAGGATGGGCGTTTCAGGCATGGATTGGGACTTATTTGGTCACCGAGAAAGGCGAAAAAGGCGGTTCGATTTTTGTAGCCGGAATCAATGTCATAATGGGAGGATTGTAAGTAACATTCTTCATGATGATGTACTTCATTTTCTTATATCCTGATTGAACTTGTTAATTCATTTTCATTTCGGTTCGACATTGCAGGAGTGTGTTAGGTGCATTACCAAATTTAACTGGCATCACTGAGGCAACCGTTGCTGCTACTAGGATTTTCGAGATGATTAACCGGACTCCTTCAATTGATGCAGATGATAGGAAAGGAAAGGCTTTGTCATATGTAAGAGGAGAGATTGAATTTAAGGACATACATTTTGCCTATCCGTCTAGGTCTGATTCACCTGTCTTGCAAGATTTGAATCTTAGAATTCCAGCCGGTAAGTCTGTCGGTCTCGTCGGAGGCAGTGGTTCGGGAAAGTCCACAACTATTGCTTTGCTTCAAAGATTTTATGATCCTACTGAAGGAGAGGTTCTCTTGGATGGATACAAAATAAGTAGACTTCAGCTGAAATGGTTGAGATCTCAAATGGGACTTGTTAGTCAAGAGCCTGTACTCTTTGCAACATCCATAAAAGAAAATATATTGTTCGGGAAAGAAGGAGCATCGATGGAAGATGTAATAAACGCAGCTAAGGCGGCTAATGCACATGACTTCATTGTCAAGTTACCGGAGGGATACGAAACTCATGTAAGCTAACTTCTAATCTCTCAACCAGAAAACTGTTTTTTGAATTGTTATACCTGGTTATAACATGAAAACTGTGTGGAATGCAGGTTGGTCAGTTCGGATTTCAGATGTCTGGTGGCCAGAAGCAGCGAATCGCCATAGCAAGGGCTTTGATCCGGGACCCTAAAATCTTGCTTCTCGATGAAGCTACAAGTGCATTGGATGCACAAGCTGAAAGGATAGTGCAGGAGGCGATTGATAAGGCATCTGTAGGGAGGACAACCATCATCATTGCTCATCGCTTATTGACAATCAGGAATGCAAATCTGATTGTGGTTCTTCAAGGTGGTCGAGTAATTGAATCAGGGTCCCATGATGAATTAATGCAAACGAATGGAAGAGAAGGTGGAGAATACTACCAGATGGTACAGTTGCAGAAAATGGCATTGCAAAGCGAAGCTTCTGATGATTCAGACTACAAAACCGAAGGAAGAAAACGCCACAGGTTGCAAGTTGCTCAAAGTCCGATGAGTTATAGATCAAGTGTTCCGAGCACTCCAGCATTGAGCCCTTTCAGCCCAGGTCTATCTGTGGGAACACCCTATTCCTACACCATCCAATTTGATCCTGATGATGGCAGTGACAATGAAGACTTCAACCAAGTAGCTCATCCTACTCCATCGCAGTGGCGTCTGTTGGAAATGAATGCACCAGAATGGGGCAGAGCCTTGATTGGGAGTATGGCTGCAATTGGCTCAGGAGCAGTTCAGCCTATAAATGCGTACTGCGTCGGATTACTTATATCTATTTACTTCCGCACCGACAAATCCGAAATCAAGTCAAGATCCAGAACTTTGTCCTTCGTTTTCTTAGGCATAGCTGCTCTTAACTTCACATCAAGTCTCCTCCAACACTACAATTTCGCAGTCATGGGAGAGAAGTTAACAAAAAGGGTAAGGGAGAAGTTCTTGGAGAAGCTGATGACTTTCGAGATTGGTTGGTTTGATGAAGAGGAAAACACAAGTGCAGCCATTTGCACAAGATTGGCTACCGAGGCCAACATGGTTCGTTCCCTTGTTGGGGACCGAATGTCATTGCTGGTTCAAGCCATTTTCGGGTCCATTTTCGCATACGTGCTAGCAATTATACTTAGCTGGAGGTTATCTATTGTGATGATCGCAGTTCAACCATTAGTCGTTGGAAGCTTTTATGCAAGGAGCATCTTGATGAAGAGTATGTCGGGGAAGGCGCAAAAAGCACAGAAGGAAGGAAGCCAACTAGCAAGTGAAGCAGTGGTGAACCATAGAACTATCACTGCCTTTTCATCTCAGAAAAGAATATTGGGGCTTTTCAAGGAAACATTGAAAGGTCCGAAAAAGGAAAGTGTCCGACATTCATGGCTTTCCGGTTTAGGCCTCTTTAGCTCTCAGTTTTTCAACACAGCCTCTACAGCATTAGCTTACTGGTATGGTGGGAGATTATTGACACAAGAATTAATATCATCAGAGCACCTCTTTCAAGCATTCTTGGTGTTGCTATTTACTGCTTATGTCATTGCCGAAGCTGGAAGTATGACCAATGATTTATCGAAAGGAAACAGTGCGGTCCGATCAGTTTTTGCGATCCTAGATAGGAAAAGTGAGATTGATCCGGATTATACATGGGGTCTAGAGATTAAAAAGTCGATTAAGGGACGAATAGAACTGAAAAATGTGTTCTTTGCATACCCAACCAGATCTGACCAAATGATCTTTAAGGGTCTAAACCTTAGAATTGAAGCAGGGAGGACAGTGGCACTGGTGGGACAAAGTGGTTCTGGAAAATCTACCATTATCGGACTTATCGAGAGATTTTACGATCCGACCAAGGGCTCCGTTTTCATCGATGCACAGGACATAAAGAACTATAATGTGAGAATGCTGCGAACACATATTGCACTTGTCAGTCAAGAGCCAACCCTGTTTGCAGGAACGATCCGTGAAAACATCGCCTACGGGAAAACGAATGCTAAAGAATCCGAGATTAGAAAAGCTGCGAAGCTCGCCAATGCTCATGAATTCATAAGGTATGTCAACTGCATAGTTCATACTTTTGTAGTTCGTTTTGGAGTTTTATTAGCCAATGAAAATCCCATTTTCGTGTTGTGATTTGCAGCGGTATGAAGGATGGCTACGACACCAATTGTGGAGAAAGAGGTGTTCAGCTATCAGGTGGTCAAAAACAACGAATCGCACTTGCACGAGCCATACTGAAGAACCCCTCGATTCTCCTACTGGATGAGGCGACCAGTGCACTCGATAGCGTGTCGGAAAACTTGGTTCAAGAAGCACTTGAGAAGATGATGGTCAACAGAACATGCGTAGTCGTCGCTCACCGGCTGTCGACCATTCAAAAAGCCGATTACATCGCTGTTATCAAGAACGGAAAAGTTGTGGAACATGGTTCACATAATGAACTGGTTTCCTTGGGTCGCGGTGGAGCATATTATTCACTCATAAAACTACAGGGTGGTGGGACTTCTCCGTATAGGCAAACATGATATTAGAGGTTGAAGTCAAATAAATCAGTCATTCACTAGTTTTGCATATGTGAACAAAGATTTCGGTGATTGATTTGCATCGATATGTAGACATTTATGATTTACATTCCAATATATTATCATATGTGAGAAATCCATGTAATTTATTACTAATAATGAGAAATGATTCAAAGTGGAATAAAGAAGCTCAAAAAAAAAAAAACAACATAAATAAACACTCATTTCTATACAATTCAATACAAATTAATGAATCACACATTGTTGGTTACTATAAGCTATATTACTAATATTCAAGTGAGTATCAAATACGAATATATATTTATTTTTTTAGAAATTTTGAATCTAATGAATTAATTTATTTTTATTTATTTTGTTTTTATAATTTATAAATAAATATAATTATTAGAATAGTTTAAAAGATTATTAATTATCAATTATTTCCATTTTAGCTTATCTTACCCAATTTCTTATTTTTGCTCTATTCTATTCAAAACTAATATCTACATATTTATTTATTAAAAAAATATCTACACATTTATATTTATTTTTTATATAAGATGTGTATATTGTGTCGTTGAGACTTTGACATCTTCAATGCCTAAATAGTGAATACCTAACTTCTTTTAATCGATGCAAGAATCATCAAATATTTGGTGTACGTGTAAATATAATAATGGGATAAAGGAAAAGACTAATTCAATTTAAATCTGTTCATTTTGACGTCATCCGTGCGCGTGTTTTGAACTCTCCATGCGTGTTCGGTTGGAATCTCCTAACAAATTATCTACCACTCCACGACAAGAACCCTATCGTAATCCTAGCGTGCAGGCCAAATTAATACCAAAGGACATAAGTATGACACGTGGACCGATAATTATTTGATCTCAAGCCCTTTTTCGTCATTTGACGTCCGAACTCCGCTTATAAATTAAGGCGATAGGTCCTTGTAAATCTCGTTTCAAATTTAATCGATTCCAGCACGCTGCGATTTTTTTTTCAAGGTAATTAAAGTCTATTTTTTTTATTGCTTCAATTTTCATTCTTGGTTTCCTTTCTAGTAGATTTCTTTTAATCAGTTTAGTTCTTGAATTATTTCTAAGAGTTTTTTTTAATTAAGGCTAGGGGTTTTACTCTGTTATTGATTTTAGGGTTTCCTTATGATTCAATCGCAGATTGTAACTGTATTTCATGATTCTGTTTTTTTTATTTTGATTATTCTTGACTGGATTATTTCTTGGCATCTCCTGTGTAAATGTTCATGAACCTTCTGAATCATATTTATGAACTTCTCCTTTTCAATTTTAGGTTTTATTTATATTCAATTGCAGAACATAAACCTATCTTCGATATATTTGAATTGGCGTGTAGATTTTGTTTGTCGATTTAAATTTGCAATCTTTAATTTACTTTTCTTCAATTAATTTTATGGCTTGGTTGTTACTATTTAAAAAGTTGGGGTTTAGTAATCGTAACAAGATGAATAATATTAGCTAGTGGAATCGTGATTTGTTAGAACCAAGATTTTGTATGTCATTTTAGAAAAGATCTATTAAATTTGCCCTGTTTGGTTGGGATGTGGTTATATATATTACACACACACAGGCCTGCTATTTTCTTATAGTTTATTTGAACTTATTTGTGTTTAATTTTGATTCAATATAGATGCAAATTTTCGTTAAAACACTCACTGGTAAGACCATCACCCTCGAGGTGGAAAGTTCTGATACCATCGACAATGTAAAGGCCAAGATTCAAGACAAGGAAGGAATCCCACCAGACCAACAGAGATTGATCTTTGCTGGTAAACAGCTGGAGGATGGCCGTACTCTTGCCGACTATAACATCCAGAAGGAATCCACACTCCACTTGGTCCTTCGTTTGAGAGGTGGAATGCAAATTTTTGTTAAGACCCTCACAGGAAAGACCATCACATTGGAGGTGGAGAGTTCAGATACCATTGACAATGTCAAGGCTAAGATTCAGGACAAGGAGGGTATCCCCCCAGACCAGCAGAGGTTGATCTTTGCTGGTAAGCAACTCGAGGATGGCCGCACCTTGGCTGATTACAACATCCAAAAGGAATCCACACTCCACTTGGTCCTTCGATTGAGGGGTGGTATGCAAATATTCGTCAAGACCCTCACGGGAAAGACCATTACATTGGAGGTGGAGAGTTCAGATACCATTGACAATGTCAAGGCTAAGATTCAGGACAAGGAGGGTATCCCCCCAGACCAGCAGAGGTTGATCTTTGCTGGTAAGCAACTCGAGGATGGCCGCACCTTGGCTGATTACAACATCCAGAAGGAGTCCACCCTCCACTTGGTGCTTCGCCTTCGTGGTGGGATGCAGATTTTTGTGAAGACCCTGACTGGAAAGACCATCACCCTGGAAGTCGAGAGCTCGGACACGATTGATAATGTTAAGGCTAAGATCCAGGATAAGGAGGGAATCCCCCCAGACCAGCAGAGGCTGATCTTTGCTGGGAAGCAACTTGAAGATGGGAGGACCCTTGCAGACTACAACATCCAGAAGGAATCAACTTTGCACCTTGTCCTTCGCCTCCGTGGTGGCTTTTAAGTATGCAATTATGAAGTGGAATCCAATATCAGTCCAGTTATGTTTCTCGCGTCTTTAGTGGTTTATGTTGATGGTTTCTATGCTTATGTGAGCTTACTGCTATGCAGTGGCAGCTTATAAGTTTAATAAATTTCTTAAAGAACTTTCATAGTTGTTGCTTATGGTTTAAGATCTCTAGTACGATGTCGTTGGATAAATTTGGTTGAGTAAGGAGCTTCACATTTCAAAAAATAAGAAAAAAAATAAAAATATTGAAACTCTTAAAACAAAGTTTCAATTTTGTTAAGTAATATAATTATATATGCACTTGATATTTGTCAATATATTAAGCAATTTTAGAATATAAACACAAAACTTATAAAATATCAATATTAAAATTTTTAAAACTTATTTTTCTTAGCATTTGATTTTAAACCTTTATTTTTGGGTAGGGCGAGCATAATAAACGGTACTGTTTCAAACAATTTTATTTGCCTGTAAGTATTTTTTTAAGTGTTTAAGTAATGCCTAATCAAGCTTGTTTGGATCAAAGCTGTTAAAGGTCCTTAACGTGTATTTGCATTCGACAAACCATAATTTTAGTGAATTTTTATTTTATTTTTCTAAAGGAGTACAAGCTGTCTCCTGCGATACGAGCTTTAACAAGTCTGTTGGGATTCAAAGAACAACCCTTCTCTTACAGGTGAGTCGCGAGACAGTACAACCTAATAATCTGCAATTGAGTTTTTCTTTTTCCTAACAAGTTGGAATCTAATCTTTCATTCTGGATCTATCACTTTTCAGATGGTCTGTATGAATTTCAACATGATGATAATTAAGTCTCCAAGAGTTGAGTCAAGAGATCATGAATTGTCCAAAGCTTCGCTTGTAATATCAGGCAATCACCTAATATTTATAGAAAAACTAAAGAGTCGTTTCTCTTTATCACTACGAATAACGCCTCTCGCAATAACCACGCTATCGTTAAAACGAACGGCTCCATTCGCATTTACTTTAACCCATCCTTTTAAAGGTCGTTGCCTTGAAGTATGGTTTATGTTGCGATTAACAGTCTTCCGGAGATGCTGCCTGCCAAGAAAATCTCCTCTACAAAATTCTTGCTTTTCACAAGGATATAATCATACTCAATAAAATTACCATCGAATAACTTAAAATTCCGCAGCTTCCAAAGATCTCAACAAGCGATATGAAAGAAAATATTCCATTTATCAATGCTGATAGATTGACTTTCATCATTATGCAAATTATTTCATATCTACGCATTAAACGGTTTTTTCATGAGCTGCCTATCTTCTCCCGATGGATCAAGTTAACACATAAACTTCGAGCACTAGTACAGTGGCGAAAAACATGATCCACATCCTCATCTCCCTTCTTACAAATACCGCAAGTACTTTCCGTGGATTTAATATATAAAAAGGTAAACTACTCGGTTAGTATCTAAACTTTTACTTTTGATCCGATTTAGTAACTGAGTTTTCAATTATTTTAAAATCGTATCTAATGTTTAGTTTTTATTTCATTTTAATACCATACAGTTACAAATTTAATGATAGTGCTAACGTGGTATTTTTTTAATAATTTTTTATTAGTATTTAATCAAAGTTTTTTCAATTAATGAGGTGGTGACGCGTGTCTACTGGGGGGGGGGGAAAGAGGCACTCAACCATATGCATGGGGCAGAACATTGGTTTCTAAATGTCAAAGTATATATTTAACTTATACTAAGTTGTCACTATAAAATGAAAGGAAATGGTTAGATATATGATTCAAACTTAGGACATCTCCCAAAATATTCAATTATTAAATCAAATTAAGAATTAATTTATCACATATCAAACTTATTATTTAATTTATTTTAATTTAAAATTAAATAATTTCTTATTTTAATTTAAGACAATTAAATAATTATTTATATATTTTATAAAATCAATATTAGTTTATTGATTTTGTAAAATCAATATTAAGTGAAACATATACAAAGCAAATTACCAATATAGGTCTCGTTACAAAACTTATCTAGACCTACACGGAGGAAAAAGAGTGTGCCATATCAATAAAAATAGTACAAATCAGCATGGAAAGATTGAAGAACAAATGACACCAATATTCACAGTCTCAAAAAAAATTCAATCACTGAGATCATAAGAGCTGGCGATCCACTTCTGCGACTATTGACCCTGTAATCAACTCGAAACCCCAAACTAAAACTGAACTTAAATACAACCAATGAAGCACGCAGTGGCTGCACCGATCAGTTCAAAACACCAAAATTACCAAGCGGATTTCTATAAAAATTGAACACTGAAGAAATAAAAAGCGGCCAATTGGATTTTGCCCAAAAACCGGTCCTAAGTAAAGCCAACTCATATATACGATCCATACTATATCTGGTTTTTTTAAAAACTCCATCGTTCCGACAAAGCCAAATGATCCATATAAAACCCAAAAGAATCAAGTCTCGGATGGGTTTCGCTATTCTTTTGGTTTTTTGAGAGAACCATATTTCCAACAGAGATTTTAGAGTATCAGGGATAACAAGTTGTGCCTTCCAAATGTTACACCACATTTCCCAAACTCTCCAACTGGTTTCGCAATGATAAAAGAGATGGTTTGAAGATTCTTGTTCTATGCTACAGAAAACGCAGTTGTTATTTTCCAACACCGCGACTCCTATTGGAATTCTTTGTTTCGTAGCCTTCCACACAAAGAAATCAACTTTTGGTGGAGTTAAATTCGGCCAGACTAGTTGGAAAATAATAATTGTGTTTTCTGCAGCATAATAACATATATATATTTTTATCATATTATCCCATTAAAAGTAAATCTATCAGTCATTTTTTAAATCATTGTTCTCATTTTAATTGACTTGCCATATATATTTAGTCAATAATAAATCAACATAAATGAGACAGAAGGAGTATAAATTAACCTCGTGTTTAATAATAATAAAAAACCTAGGCCATAGTTTTTGATAGCATTTTGTGTGGAACTCGGAATACGAGTTGTATACGGGATTTTGTTTATCTGTTAATTAGGTTGGGCTTCTATTTTTTCTAATTCATGTGGATTGTAGGGCTCATCTTTCAATCTCACCCCAAACCTAATCTACCACTGTCCTAACCTATGCAGTCCATTACCACAACAACAGCAAATGCCGGCTTTAAGATATGTCCCCAGACGTAAAAACGACGTCGTTTAAATCAGGACTTCGAACCAAAATAAAATTTCCACGTCTATTTGACAATCTTACCCCTCAACTTCAATAACTCCCCCCTTTTTTTCCTAACCGATAGTGAAACACACGCTTCATTCCATCACAAGCCACGTTTCGGATTTTAACCATCGAAAGGTTATTCTGGCGTCTACAATTTCTTTATAATAAATCTCGCGAGTACAGATTCCCATCACCCTACGTTGCGTGATACTTCCGAAAATAAAAAGGTGTATTTTTCCTTTTAATAAATTAATAAATAATTGTGTAGACCTTTCCATTTAAAGCCACCCAATATCGAAAAAAATAAACTCCACTCCTCTCAGGCTTTATCCGATTTTAGGGTTTTAAATTTCCCCTATTATTTTCTTGATAATCCTCGGATTTAAGTTATCTAAACGAAGCCCTAAAATTTTCGGATCAGGTAACTTATCATCTTTTGTGCGTTATAGATAGTTTCTTTACGGCTATTTTATTGATCTTAGATATTCTGATATGGGGTTTTGATTATATGCATATGATCAAAGTTTATAAGTAATTTTGAATTAAGAATGTTTTCGTCTGAAGGGAAGGCATGATATTTAAGATTCAAGGTTAGCTTGTTTTTTTTTTATTTTTCAGATAAAGTAGTTTAGATTGAAATAAATTTATTGTAAATAGTTAATCTATTGTCTTTTCATGTTTGAGGGTTTTGGTGACGATATCTGTAACTAATTTGTTGCTACGTTCTTTTAATACTTAGTTTCGATAATACACGTCTTGAACTTTTTTGGGTGATTTCTTGTTTATATTTTATTTTCTTTAGTATTATTTGCGGAAGTTGGAGATGGAACTGAGAATCTGCAACTTATGCTTTGATATTGCTAGGCCGAATATCAGTTATTGCAAACAAGTTTAATTCTTATAATTATTATATTTCAAAGTGATCTGATTCCTGTTTCTTTTATTTGCTTCTTTGTTTTGCTAGATTTGTTAGTCTTTTGTTTTACTGATTAACTTGTCGATGGTAATCCTTGAGATGCTTACTTTTGTTTTGATCAAATTCTATTTTTTTTTTTCATTGTTTTACCTGGAAATTATTCTTATTCTTGATGGGTGTATGCTATATGATAAATCTAATGTTATTGCTCTGTGTTTTTTAGGTCTGAGCTTGTGTTTGTTAGGCCTCTTTGATCAGCTAAGTTTCATGTCTGATCTTGACGTTCAAATTCCTACTGCTTTTGGTATGATTCTATCATAATTTGATTTCCAATATTTGCTGTCGTTTTTATCTGTCTGTTATTGTTAATATGGGTTTAACTTATGTATTTTCTGTGTTAGATCCCTTTGCTGATGCAAATGCTGAGGACTCTGGTGCCGGCACAAAGGAGTACGTGCATATTCGTATTCAGCAAAGGAATGGTCGGAAAAGCCTGACAACTGTCCAGGGGTTGAAGAAAGCATTCAGCTATAACAAGATACTAAAAGACCTGAAGAAGGAGTTTTGCTGCAATGGCACCGTGGTCCAGGACCCTGAATTAGGACAGGTGTGTCTATAACCCCTTACTAAGAGATTATTCACCTTATCAGTATTCTATTATTGGTACCCGGTTGCTAAGTTTCAGTCGTGTCACTGTTTATATTCAGGTTATTCAACTTCAGGGTGACCAACGTAAGAATGTGTCAACCTTCCTTGTTCAGGTAATTGTGTTATTGTTTGGAATATCTTGATGTCTTAAAGCGAGTTTATGCAAAAGCCCATCGGACTCTGTGATATTTGATTTCCTAATTGGCATCCGTGTTTTGTTTTTGATCAGGCTGGCATTGTGAAGAAGGATAACATCAAAATCCATGGTTTCTAAGCCTGCAGCCTCGTGAAGCTTTCTGCTAAATCGCGGTCCTTGTGTCGAAGCAGGGAATAGCAATTGTCTGATTAGGTTATATGTCTATGCGGTTGGATCGTTGCTCTGTGGGTTTGATAAGAACTTATGCATCTAGCGTTTCTTGTGCTTTTAAATTCAACGGATTCTGTATTGTTGGATGATGATGAAAGCTATATGGGAGTTTGTTTCTCTATTAGTATTCAAAGCTAAAATCTATGATGCTTGGACCTATATTTGTTGAAATATTAGTTTCTGATCAGATTTTGGCAAAAATTAAATAAATCCATGTTCATATTCTACTTGCACAATTGTTTATATTATGTTAGAGATTAAAACAATCGCTAAATTGACAAGGTATGACATTTAAATATTTCTGCATATTCATGAAAGTTAAGTGTCATGCTACAGTAATACTGTGGTGTTTATGAGTTGTTTATGTATTTTAACAAGCAATATTGACTTATTTAATTAAGGTTAGACTATTACATGTATCATCAAATTTTGATTGTGTACTCGTTTATATTATTAAATTATTAATTTTAGCACCAATATTTAATTTTATGTTTTATTATATCATTGTGTTGTTAATAATTTAACAGAATAATGATAAGCTACGATTGGTTTTATTAAAATCATTTTCTATACACGTCTCTTTTTTCTTAAGTTATGCGTTCAATAAGTATTAAAAATAAAATTTTCCTTTTTCCTTTTCTTTAAATAAAAATTGTTAAAAAAAAGTTAAATAATATTAAAATATGCCAAAATGACGTAATATTATTTTTATTATTTTCCAAATAATTTTTATTATTCTAAAAGCTCGCTATTTTTATTTGGATGCTTTGTATGATGTAGCAGGTTCCCCTACTTTCTTACGATAATATACACAATTTATTTTTAAAAAAATATTTAAAATTAATTTATACTAATATATATGCATGACTAGGTTCTTAGGTCATATGCATTGCACTTAAATTTAAGTGATTAATTGTTTAATATTATAATAGAAACATATTTTTAATCATCATTTAAAGTATTTGTACAACACGAATTTGATCCAGCTGCTCGAATTTAAATTTTTTAGGGAGAATAAACTTCCCTCTTACCGCTAATACCATTTAATTGATTAAAATATTATTTGATTGATTTCTCTTTAATTTTAAATGGAGTTGACTGATAATAAATAAGAAATAAAAAATGACAAATATTACTTATTACAAATTGCAACGATCTGATCATACATTAAAAAGTTACACATCTTAAATAGAGCTGACTAATAATAAATAATAAATACTACTTATTACAAATAGCAACAACTTAGTTATACATATTTAGGAAGTTACGCATTTTAAATAGAGTTCAATGATAATAAATAAGAAATAAAATAATAATAAATACTACTTATTACAAAGGGCAATGAATTGGCCGTATATTAAAAAGTTACACATCGTTTCCAAAATTAGAGGGCGTTAATGCTAGTACCATCTTTTATATTATTGACGAGTAGGACTTAAAAAAATGAAATTACAAAAAAAAGACCAAAAATTAGGGGAAAAGAATTATTCATTAGTTGTAATTGAAAAAATAAAAAAGATTTATCACCTTTATCAATATTTAAAATTAATTATTTGAATCTAATTTCGGATCGTTATTCAAAGATATATAGAATTTACAATAGAAGTCAAGAACATCAAGTGAAGTTATGAAGTAATCTAATTCGAAGATCATGTTAAAATTGTTTTAACTAATTTTTTTTTTTAATTTATGATCCTAAAGCTTCCATAAGTTACATTAGATTTTACTGTGACGATATTTTATATCATGATGATTATGGTGTCTTTCCTTGTATATGCATATATTAATATATTCGTAACAATGACAAATTTTAAAATATTTTTAAAGATATATTAATAATGAAAAACATTCGTGATTAATGTTACACCAACAAAAGCATTCCATTTCTATACCGATGAATATCATGTAGAAAAACAATCCCCTTGCATCTATGACGCGACAGTTCTCCTAAAACTCACTCTCACTTCTCCCAAGTGTTACTCGAGCAATTCCATTCCACAGTTGCCTCCACATGCCAAATCCACCTTTATTTTACCATCACCTAGCAACTCTCTTTAGGACTTGGAATTATGTGATTTTTGTTAATTTATTAAATAATAATTCCATTAAAATTATTATTAATAAGAACATATGCATTTTTTTAAAATATATTCAATTAATTATATAGATAAGAAAAAGTTGTGAACAAAAAATTTGACCAACCCTATCATCCATACAGGGTGTTTTTTTTTTTTTGAAAAAAATAAATTATTCCTCCTAAATTTTAAATAAGATTGACTGATAATAAATAGCAAATAAAAGAAATGACAATTACTATTTATCACAAATGGCTAGAGCTTACTCATACGTTAAAAAATTCCAAAATTAGAGGGCATTAATGTTTATACCATTTTCTATAATACAGGTCAGATGAGTTGGAATGGGAAATCCCAAAAAACAAGTCAAAAATACATTGAATTATTATCCATGAATGGTAAAATAACTGTTCTCTATAAATGTGATACAATACCATCGCTTTATAAGGAGAGAAAAACATAACCATACTATTGCATTGTAGGCTTTACTTTTCACTTGAAAAATGTCTTCATCCCTTGGTTTTGTCAATGCTAAAATGTTGTTTTGCCTTTGTGTTACATTAGTGTTCCAACCACATTTCACATATTCGACTGCAAATCGTACAGGTCTAACCTTAAAGGCTTACGTAGATGATTCTCCAGGGTCTTCTCTGTATCGTATTCAGGATCTAAGTGTAGCTGAAAGGATAGAAAGATTGATCAATGTTAGCAATGCTAGAGCCAATTATTTGTATCAAATGTTGAGTCCCGATGGAACGATACTCCCTGATAATATTCGAGTTCCGATACTACGAGATGGTGCATATTATGCTGTAACGTTTACGATGGGAAGCCGAGGGCACCGAGTGAAGTTGTTGTTGGACACCGGTAGTGGTCTCATTTGGACGCAATGTCTACCTTGCATAAATTGTTTCAACCAACGTCTTCCAATTTACGATTCTAGAGCTTCCACCACTTACGCCACACTTCCTTGTAGCCATCCTATGTGCAATGGCGACCGAACAGTCTTTTCTTGTGTAAACAACCGATGCGTCTACCAATACGGATATCTGGGTGGAGCCTCCACAGCAGGGGTTGTGTCAACGGAAGACTTTATTTTCTATACCGACGAATCTCATATGCAAACGTTCGAGAATGTCATATTCGGTTGTGGTAATGATAATCGGAACATTTTCTTTCAGAACACCGCTGTTTCTGGGATCTTCGGATTAAACTTTGCGCCGGAATCTATGATGCAACAGTTTGCTGCTCTCACTCGATCTCGATTCTCATACTGCCTCGTCCCTTTTACTGAGGCAGTGCCTAACACACTTCTTCTAAAATTTGGACAAGACATTCCGGAGTTGCCTCCACATGCTGAATCAACATTGTTTGTGCAAAGAACAGGCAACGATCATTTCTTCTTGGAATTGTTGGATATAAGTGTTGGTGATTATCGTCTAGGATTACCTCCGTCTGCTTTTCAGGTAACATTATTCGAATTATTTCGATTCGTAAAGAATAGATGACGTAATATTGAAATATTTAAATAAAAAGTTAATCTTAAATTTTTCAGTTTAGAGGAGGTGGGGAAGGTGGTTGCATCTTTGACTCGGGAAGTCTGTTCACTATAATGGATTCCAACTCAGTTGGAGTGAACGTCTACGAGAGAGTGATGCAAGTGATTAGAGCTTATTATGGCTCAAAAGGACTTTCAGCTATAAGAACACGTGCAGGAGGATTCGATCTGTGTTATAATCGTCCACCCAATTTTAATGATTTTGCGTCTATAACATTCCATTTTAATGGAGCCGATTACAGCGTCCCCGGCGAATATAATGTTGTGTTCGACCAGAGAACTATCTGCATACCAATACTGAAGGGACCCCTAACAACTATTATCGGAGCAGTACATCAACAAAATAAACGACTCGTTTATGATGGAATGTTTGGTGAACTCCAATTTGCTGATGAAAATTGTCAAAATGATAGGTGATACACTTTTTTTCTTTACAAAAAACAAATGTTGGGTAGCACAATGTAACAACGAGACTTGAAGTAATTTCAGTCCTTAGACCGAAATGAAAATTTGTCAGCAATAAATTTATGTGTTAACTATTTCTTAAATTTTATTTCCTTTTAATAGTTACTATTTTGGACAAATATTATCTTATAACTTATATGAGGCTTGATTTTTATATGTATGTTGTTGTGTTTAACTGCTGATTTGATTTAATCTCTTATGATTGTTCCGCTCCGTTCCTTGCTTAATTTGATTTTCTGATAATTTGAAAGATCATAGCAATCATTTCGTTTCTAAGTTTTAAAGATAATGTTGTTATACTTAAAATATTTGGGTTCAAACAGTTGCATATGTAGAGAATGCATGTTACTGATAAATTAAGAAAAAATTTGAACACAAATTACCTTATAATTGCCTAGACTACCTTACATGTTGCTGTTATTGAGGCTTGATTTATATCTGTTTGGCTGCTGATTTGATTCAACCTTAGGTGATTTTTCTAATCGTTTTCAGTTAATTTGAGAAATTCTCGGTTAAAGATTATGATCATAGCACATACTGATAGGGTTCTATTTCATGTAATTTCTCGTTTCCTTTATTTTAATTTGATTCTTCTGATAATTTGAAAGACTTAAGTTATTCCCGAATAATTTCGTTTCTAATTTCTTAGTTAAAAATCATATTATTTCCTTACGAATAGTAAAAATTGAATTCAATGGATACATCTAAAGTTACCATCTAAAATGATTACAAATTTAGGAGCGATTTTGAAAAATAAAAGGAGAAGGGGGTAATTTTTGAAAGAAAAACGGAATTAGTAGTTAGTTTTTTAAAAAAAAAATAAATTTTGGAGTTTGAATTTTGATACTGTAAATCGAATAAATTAAGTTAGAAGGATTTTTTAATAAAGAGTTTTTGTAATTTTTGAAAGAAAAACGGAATCATATTTTTTTGATAGTTAGGTTGTTTTTTTTTTTATATTGATATTGTAAATGTAACAAATTAGATAGGGAGGATAGACCCTATAATACACTACTAAAGTACATGAATTAAATTAAATGATTAAAGAATAGGATATAATTGGGTAAACTATATGTTTAGTAATTAAACTATTTGTAACATTCTCAATATCGGGTTAGCGACTAGATTGAAAAATTTCAGAAATTAGTGATTAAAGTAAGATAAATGAATAGTTCAATGACTTATTTGAAATATATGCTGAAGGCTGTTTAGTAATTATTGAATGAATTAAAGGGTCAAATGGTCATTTGACAAGTAAGATTTTTATTTTTTTCCTTTATAAGATAAGGGAACCACGTGGAAAAGGAGAGATTTCTCCAGAATATGCTATGCTTTTCCTTTTTTCTTCTTCTTCACGTGGAAGCCAAGAGCAAAGGTGAGTTCATGGTTAGTTAATTTCTTGATGAATTCAAGGTTAGTTTGTGATCATTAGACGATAACTAAGTTTAAGGAAAGCTTAAGTTATCTTAAAATCAAAAGACGACAGAGTTAGGAGAGATTAAGTAAAAGGAGTTTTTAAGTGAATTCTTGAAATAAAAGGAGTTAATAGATTTTGAAGTTGAATTTGACTTGTCAAGGGTCTAATTAAGAAGTTAGAAGCAATAGAATTGGAATTAAAACAGTTGCAAAGTTGATATAATTTTTTAGTTACATATGAGGGATAGAATTTTGAGGTTAAAGATGGTTTATATGGATATAAATTGGTTTAAGCATGTATATGAGTTAAGAACATGAAAGGGGATGAAAGATGAAGCATTTGAGTTGATTTGAGTGGATTTTCGTGCACGAAATGGAATTCTGGGCTAGTGTGCATCGGTACACATTCAACTTGTACCGATGCATCAAGGGAAATTTCCATAAATTGTTCAGTGTGTATCGATGCACAGGAAGTGCATCGATGCACCCCTTAAAAATGGAAACATCAAATGCAATTGGTGCATCAATGTATAAGGAGTGCATCGATACACCCCCTTAAGATTAAAACATCGAAGGTGATTTGTGTATCGATGGGGGTAGTATCGATGCACATGTTAAGGGATGCATCGATACACTGTATAATGTATCGATGCACTTTAATGGGAAATGGAATAAATCGTTATTTCAGTTTATGAAATGATAGATTAAAGTATATAAAATGGGATATTGATAATATAAATACATGATTGTGTAGATATCGATCGAGAGCAAGTTCCGTAATGATTGAAAGGTTAAAATTAATCAAGAAGAGAAAGCAAGCCAAAGGAGTAATTGATAGAAAGTGAGGCACAGGTGAGTGCATATTAGTTAGTTTATGGTGCTAAATGGAAACAATACTTGCGACAAGTCTATTTCCTATATTAGAATGTATGAATATATGATTATACGTATATGAATGACATTAATGTATGTATGCATGATTATATGTGTTAACATGCTTTTGAATGTAATGATATGAGAAGTATGTGCTATGTGATGTATATATGAACATATGTGAAACTGAACTATGTGAATGCATGAGAAAGATATGAGCCATATGACATGATATATGTGAACATGAGAAAACAAAGTATATTTATATGATACGAGCTATAGTATAGTTGGCATGCCAAGAGTCGAGGGTCTACACGTCCTTGGGACATACAGTGATCCTTCGAGATATTTCATAGTGGTCCTTCGGGACAAAAATTTCATAGCCCCTAGTGGGACCCCTTACGAGCTGTGGTGACATCATAGTGCACAACCTCAATAGACTTAGACTCACATATCTACAATTCTCACAGGTGTACATAGGCTAATAAGAGATAACATTGAATACAATGTATGTGATATATATATGCGTTTTGTGATATGAATTATACGATATGATATTGTGTGTTAGTGATTATTGTATATGTTATAAGATATATGATATGAACAAATAATCATATAAACAAGATAATAGAAATATGAATGGTAATAATATGATAATGATAGAAGAAGATAATTATATGCATGTGTGGATTTGATATATGAATGGATATATGTTTGGGTATGATGTGATAGCAATAATTGTTCATGCATGATTACAAATTATAGTTTACATTATATGTTTATTGCCTCACTAAGTCATAGACTTGCGTGTAAGTGATTTACGTAGATTTCAAGAAGAGTAAAGAGCAATGTGGAACAAGACAGGTCAATTCTCTTTAATGAAGGTCAGATCAGAAGAGAGGTGAATAATATTATTTTAATATAAAAGTTCTAGTTGACATGTATCAAAAGATTATATTTTATAAGCTCTGAATAGTTTTGTACACATTTTGAATAAGTTACATGTTATAAAAGTTTTAAATTACTCACTATTTTATACAAGTAAATGTTTTGAAAAGTCATGTGACACCTCGAACTCGTATTCGGTCGAATACGGTTGGGGGTGTTACACTATTACTTTTATTTCGTTTTGGTACATAAACTTTTATTTGTTTTGAAATCATCCTAAGGTTTAGTTTTTATTTCATTTTGGTATCTTGTCATTAAATATTTAGCGGATTATTGTATGTGGCATTTTTATGCATAAATTACATCATTTATCATTCAACTACCTTTCACTCTTGTTATCTTCACTAAAGTTTAACAAATTTCAATTTAACTACTCAACTTTCAAATTGCTCATGTTTTAATCACTCTAATTATTTTTATTAATATTTTTTGTGGAATGAAATTTTTATTATCATTTATTATATTTTTTTATTAGCATTTTTATTATGGTCGAGAGGTCTTCAAAGATGGCCTAGCGGAGTGCAAGGATCATTCGCCATTTCAATGGAGCCGATTACACCGTTGATGGAAGATACGTCAATGTGCTCATGATCAAAGCGTATTTCTGCGTAGGAAACTAAAGGCAACAACAAAAAACGTATCATTCATGATGAATTGTTCGGTGAACTTCAATTTGCTGATGAAAATTGTGCCAATGATGTTGCTTGATTGTTTAATATGTTTGCTTTTTTAAATATAAATAATATATGGACACGTTTCTGTGTTATTGTCTTGGTCAAACCAATTTCTGCATTGCGTCATTGACAAATCAAAGAAGAAACATTCTCATTTAATTCATGGCTTATTAAGGTAAGTTGGAAAGTTAGAGATGTTAAATTTTATTAAAAGAAATTATTAATCAAGAAATTCTCGAAACATTGGGTAATATTGTTCACCTGTAGAATAGGATTGCATCAAATTTTCTATACATGAATCGAAGTATTTCATGTTCATTGTTGGAAATTTTAAACATGTGTTGTCTTCTTATAATGATTTATCGTGACCTCTCACCATCAGTTTGACCCGTTCAAGTGCGTTGGAAAGCTAATAACGTTTAGTCTTATTGAAAAGAGACACGTATCTAGGGGAGGGAGAATGAGACTTTTTGCTCTAATAGATTGCTCTTAATAGATATTAAACCCACAAATTTAAAACATCATTTATTGTAAGAAAAAAAATTCTCCAACAGTTTATTCATTTTACCAACAATCTAATAATTAGAAATTGATAGATATTTTTTCATCTTTTCTTATAAACATTTGTAATCATTCATTGATTTTTTTAGTTTAATTTGTAAATATTCTAATATTGTGGAGATTATCTTTTTGTTTGATTATTTGTATTACTCTTTAAAAGGGTTTGAGTCCTAAGCTTTGAATATTTAGTAATTTTTAGTGTATTTTGATCCTAAAACTAATTCAAATAATTAGTAATTTATAGTGTATTGAATAATTTAGTAATTTTAGTGTATTTTGATCCTAAAGCCAAGTATAAATGGAGAGAGGAGAGTGCCTTGTGAATTATCGACAATAATTGTGGAAGGGCATTAGAAATTTTTGGCCTTCTATCCGTCCGTGAAAGCATCTCATGGAATATTAGAGACGGTCTTCAAACAAAATTTTGGTCGATTCTTGGGTTGACAATTGGGTCCTTTAATTGAGAAAAGAATGGGAAAC